TGGCTGCAGTGACCGGGCACACGAGTCCAGCCTGACTCTTCCAGCAGGAAGTCTGGGGCCGGTGTTCGTGCATCATGGGCACGCTGCATGTGCCACCTCTGGTACAGGAGAACGGCACTTCTGCACAAAGGTGGCATCACACCTTCCCTTATTACTGAAAATAAGCATTGAACTTCTGTATGTGGGGACTCTGAGGGTAAGGAAAGCTACATCGTATTTGGGGCTTTCACATGCTGTGTGTTTGTGTGGGAGGGATTATTATTACAATATAACATCCCATTCTATGGGTTTGGGAGGAAAAAATGACGTTTTAAATTAGAAACATTTTCTATTTTCCACAAAGTGACACAGTTACTGCCTGAGGAGCCTGTCTTGCCCTGTGCTCTGCCCCATCCCTTTCTGTTGCTTGTCACACCCATCTCTCTCAAAGCCTTGCCATTTTTCCAGTCGGATGGCTTCATTTCTGTTTGCTCCTTTTCCTTGCCATAATCCCAGGTTATCACTGTTGCTTCTTGCCACCACTTCCTAGAATGTCCTCAAGAGAAAGCTATATAAACTATTTTTGAAGCCGCTCATGGCAGAAAAATAAAGGATTTTCTTAGGTAGCAGTGTCTCATAACCCCTTCCAGTATGTCTGTCAAGTAACTGAATTTTGTTGTCATCTACTTTTCCCAATTTAGCCCCCATCTTAGAGGCTTTGAGCCATTAACCTCTTCTCTTCCTCCACCTGCTGCAGATTCTGCTGGGCTTTGGGCGCCTGCAGGCCCTCATCCGGAGCCGGCAGCTTGCGAAACAGTACGAAACAGCCCGAGCTGCTGTCGTCAGGTTTCAGGCCTTGTGCCGTGGATATCTGATGCGTAAAAAGATTGCAGAGCAGAAGAAAGCTGCATGTGTCATACAAGCGTATGCAAGGGGCATGTTCGCTCGCCAGAGTTACCAGAGGATGAAGAGAGAGGTACGTGTATCCCTCCAGATGCCTTGTGAACATGATGTTGCTTTTATGAGGTTCTGATAGATGTTTAACTAGCAGTGAATGTTGCCACAGCAGTTTCGTTGTTGTTGTTGTTGTTGTTGTACACTTCACCGGTTAGCAGGCTGACAGATGTGAGCTCTGTGAGATACGAAAGCAGAGGCTAAGTGGGCTGATGCTGCTTATGCTTGCTGTCTGTGCTCATCACGGATTTAGTTTCACCAGACCCAGATGACCAAGCAGAAATATTCTTGACAGAAGGGAGGATAAAAAATAAGGGGATTTGCAGGTGTTTCAGGTACTGCTGCAAAGGAAGATCACATTCTATATCGGGGCCTGATAATGTCTCTTAGGGATCCATTCCTGAGGGAAAGCCAGTGTTGTGTATGCACTGCCAGAAGAATCCTATATTTCTTACCTTGGCTGTCTGTAGCATATAGGAGCCCTTCTTGTGGTTTCCTTCCAGCATTAAATGCTGTACAAACAGGACACAGATATCTGCCTGTGGGCCAAAGCTAGAACTGAGCAGCCCCTGCTGTGGAGCAAGTCCTGGTGCAGACAGCTGATGAACAGCAGAAGGGAACCAGCCCAGAGGTATAGGAACAGTCACAGATTGGTCCTCTTGTCCACAGTACCAGGGCAAGCTGGAAGCCAGGAATATCCGCTTGGAAGAGGAGAAACGTCTCATCCAAGTCCTCGGGCCAGTGAAAGCAAGAGAAGAAGCTATGAGGTTAGAAAAGGTAGGTATGTGCATTGAGGAACATGAAGTGCCACGCTGTGGCCCAACGAGACAGTTTCCACTGACAGCGTCCACTTCGCACTATTGACTTGCTCCAGGATCTGTGAAGTGATGTATGTCAGAGGACAGTAAAAAGCAGAATTCCTTATAAACACATTTGCCAGGAGATTCAGGAAGGGGCCAAGTCAAACACATGCACGTCTAGAGTATGAGGGGCTCTTTAGACAAACATGCACATGCTGTTATGCTGTTTGCCAGCAGGGCCAGGGAGGGGATCCTGCCCCTCTGCTCAGCTCTGGGGAGGCACCTGGAGCATTGGGGGCAGTTCTGGGCTCCCCGGGACAAGAGGGACCTGGAGCTGCTAGAGAGGGGTCAGCGCAGAGCGATAAAGATGATGGAGGGACTGGAGCAGCCATCGTATGAGGAAAGACTGAGCGAGCTGAGCCTGGTTAGCCTGGAGAAGAGAAGGCTGAGAGGAGATTGGATCAACATGTGCAAGTACCTGAGGGGTGATTGTAGGGAGGACGGGGCCAGGCTCTCTCCTTCTCCGGAGATCTTCCAAACCGCCTGGATGCCGCCCTGTGCCCCTGCTCTGGGTGTCCCTGCTGGAGCAGGGGGTTGGACTGGATGATTTCTAGAGGTCCCTTCCAACCTCAACTATTCTGCAATTCTGTGATTCTGCTATGATCTCCTGACACAAAACATAAATTTTAAATATATTTTTTTCATGATAATTAGGAATGTTGTGTTTTTCCTGTAGTATTGTTCGATGATACAGTTCTTGAAAATTGCATTACTACTTATAAGCCAACAGCCTATACAGACAGCTGTGCAGAGTGCAAGCTGCTGATGTGTTGGAACTTGGTGGCTGCTTAACACAAGCAACACTTGGTTTCACATCAGGCACTGCGCTGGCAGAGCTACATCTCATGGGCATAACACCTTGGTAATCACCTGTCATCCTCACGCCCAGTCATTCTAGCTGAATGAAGTTCCAGCCATGTTTAACCAACTTATATGTTTAAAGGAACACCTGGCTGCTCTGGAGAGAGAGGAGAATGAAGAAAGACAAAGGAGGAATAATGCTCTTGCCAACCGGCCAACAAGTTATGATGTTATCAGTGACCAAGAAATGGTGGACAAAATTTTTGGATTTTTACCTTCCATGATTGGAGGCCAAGAAGGACAGGCTCCTCTGGGTTTTGAGGTACTGAGCTGCAAAGTGGTGATGGGTCACGTTCATCCCCTAGATAAGTCCACTGAGTCAATTCTGTTCAATGAATTTCTGTCCTGTGAAAGCAGTGAGCAAGAACTGCCCAAATAAGTCGTCCAGAAATCCCCTGAGGAGCTGAGGGGGGTCCCAGGAGGTCAGCTCCCAAAAGCTCTGGTTCACTTGCAGTCTAGGGACTGCGCGTCTTCAAAATCTCTCCAAATTTGTTCCATCTCCCCAGGAGACCCTCTCTGGATTGTGCCAGTCTCTCCTTCCAGCATCAACTCCTTGCTCTGCTGCCAGGGCTTTCTCAGTGTTTTCCAGCTTGCACACATCTTGTGCAGTTACTCCATGTCCTTAAAACAAAGGTTTTGGATGTACTTGTCCTGACAGCTGAGGAGGGTGGGACAGAGGGCAGAGCAGTCTCCATTAGTGTGGAATGGGAGCAGCGAGGTAGCACTGGTGTTTTCCGACACGCACCGTCTTGGCCAGCTGAAGACCAGCCCAGGGAGGCCACACGGAATGGAATGGATGTGTCCTGGAGCAACAGGTTGTACGTCCCAGTGGTCTATTGGTAGCTGCTGAACATGGCCCTGGCTGGAAAGCCAAATACCAGAGGAATTACAGACAAGTCAAAAATGCATATATAAAAAAAATAAGAATATTGTGGGTGGAGGGAAAGAATATAAGCTTCTTCTGTGTGTTCTGTGTAGGATTTGGAAACGAAGCCGAACAGGCTGGAAGAGGTGGACCTGGACATGATTCCCATGAGCATGGAGCTGGAAGAAGAAGCAGACGGCTTGGCAGAATACACCTTCCCAAAGTTTGCAGCTACCTATTTCCAGGGGTCATCTACACACACACACATCCGGAAACCCTTGCGGCACCCACTGCTTTACCATGACGACAAGGACAACGTCCTGGTATCTTGCTGCTGCTTCTTGTTGCTGAACTTGCTCCCTGCAAGAGCCCTGGCTCTCACAACTCACATCCTCCTTGAGGGATAGGAGGATGGAGAGGGAACTGTCTTCTTGATATTAAGCAGCCTTCCAGAAGAAGGAGTCCCATGCTGCAAAAGCCTTGTCATTACTTGGTCTTCCCTCTGGGCATAAGGGCTCCTGGAAGAGCTTCCTGCAGAGTGCTGGTCTGTCCAGCTGTGTAGATGCAAAGTGCATCTAAACAGGAGGAAAGGGCACGTGGCCTTTGGTCCTCTTGGCAGTGTTTGATTATGCTTTCTGCCATTGCAGGCTTCCCTGGTTGTGTGGGTCATTATCCTGCGGTTCATGGGAGACCTGCCAGAGCCAGCAATGTTTGCCAGGAGTGGCACCACCAAGAGCAGCTCTGTGATGACACAGATATATGACACACTTGGCAAGAAAAACCAAGTCCAGTTCAGGAGCAACAGCCCAAATATGGTGAGAGGAACAGGCTATGTTTGTATTTTCAGATGCTTTCCTTGGTTCTTATGCTTTTCTACAGAAAGAAAAGCAAAGGAAACCTTGCAGGCTGTTGTACTTAGCCAGAAGTACCAGAAATGCAAAGGGCTCCCTATCAGGGAGGACACTGCAGCTCCTTTGAGCAGCAGGTCCCAAATTTTGCACCTGTCTTTTCTTAGTGACTCATTCTTGCCATGCATGAAACTACTTTCCAGTAATGACAATGTGTGTTGCAGGGAGACAACAGAAAGGATAACAAGATCTCCAAGGGGATCTCTTCCCTGAAGCTGAAACGGTCCTCCAAGCTGACAGGGAAGGTAAGAGTTGGAAATAAATTGCCTTTTCTAAGTCTCTACCTGGACTCCTATCTTCCTTGTGCTTAGTGCTTACAGGATAACACAGGAAATTTCTCCAAGGCAGTGAGAACACAAGATTTTGAGTTGAAAGCCAGAAAGATGGAGCATCTCTCATTTCTTTGAGAGCTGCCTGGTATAAGGGAAGGTTTCCAGATAACTCTGGGGTTCTGCTTGTGTATTTTTCAGGTAGCAAACCAGCTGAAAAGTGGAGAAGAGGCTTTCCAAGAGGATAGCTCGATCTCTGAGAGACCTATGTCCAACCTTGAAAAAGTGCATTTCATTATTGGCAATGCAATCCTGCGCCCTGCCATCAGGTAAGAAACTTGCACCTTCTTTCTAGGACCAACACTCCTTGCCTCAAGGATATGCAGCACTCCCTATCCAAAGCCACGGGGAATGTTTTTACCATGTTGTTTTCACATGTTTTATTACAGAGATGAGATCTATTGCCAGATTTGCAAACAACTCAGTGAAAACAGCAACAGGAGCAGCTACGCTCGAGGCTGGATCCTTCTGTCCCTGTGCCTTGGTTGCTTTCCTCCTTCAGACACATTTGTGAAGGTACATTGCTCACCTTTCCTATAGCAGCTTAAAGGCCTCACCTGTCCTGGTTTCTTGTTTATTTTACTATTTTTTTACTACAGCCACCTAAACTATCTGGCTGTCATAGCTGCTGGTGCTGTGATTTCAGCAGAAACTATCTCATCTCATAGGCTTTTCTGGGAATTGAAATAAGTGACTATTGTACTAATGTTTACTTCTTTTTCATGAGTTGAATCCTGTTGTTGATCACAGCCCTCATTTTACATCTTATATTGTGAAAAATTCGGCAAATCTTATCATCTGCAGTTCTGCTTTTCCAGCACCTAAACCTGTCTCCAGTTACCAGTCTCCTAGTGATTAAGTATTCCCTGAAGTCCAGCGCATGCAGTAAAAGAGAGAGAGAAAAAAAAAAACACCCTACACCTGCAAACCTTAGAAAATCCAGTGGAGACTGGGCTTTCCTACCATGTGGTTTTTTAGGTACATTAATTTCTAAATGTAGGTAAATGATAAATCCACTTTACCATGGAAAAAAAATCATCTAAGATATCTGAGCCCTACAAGCCCTGCAAAGCTCTATTTCTCTAATCTTTATCTTCCAAAGTCCAATTTCAATCTCTGTGTCAACCATCAGAATTTAATGATGTTTAGAGTTTAATCAGAGAGTTTAATGAAACTGAAAAGAGCCATAATCTGCAGCCCTGCCCGGCAGCTAACCCCCTTCCTGGTTTACCTGATCATACAGAATGTCACAAGATGCAGTTTGTTCCATTGGGAATGCTAACCCTACCCCCACCCTTGCCCCAGCCTTATTCTAGGAATAAACATTCTCGACTATTTTTACAGTATAGTTAAAAATAAGGAATAGGCTTATACTGACCAAGTCTTCCTCTTCAGTCTAGAAATTTGTCAGAATGCGAACAACTTGGTGTCTCAAACCCTCTTTTCCAAAGCACCAACCTTAATCTTTAAAATTTCCTAGAAAACTGTACCTAAGCATAAGCAATACTGTAATCTAGTCTATCAGCTGGAAAAGGTTTCTAGTGTTGAAGGAGCACTGGTGTTTCCTAACTCTCTCGTGTGTTCTGTGGCTAGTACCGGCTGAACTTCATCCACGACGGGCCCACTGGCTACGCCCCGTACTGCGCTGAGCGCCTGAGACGGACCTACGCCAACGGCGCGCGGAGCGAGCCGCCGAGCTGGCTGGAACTGCAGGTGCCAATTCCCTCGTCGCTTCCTTGTGTCGATCGTGTCGGATTGCGCTGGGCTGCGTTTCCTAACCTGTGTGACAGAGAGGAGACATCAATTGCACAAGCTGCCTTAGTCTGGATAACTTATTAGATTTACCTCTTTAATGGCTATTCTGTCAACCCAAATTCAACAGAGGGAATAAATGAAGAGCTGCAACACCTGATACGCAGGGTGGTGCCTGCATCCACTCAGGAGCTGCAGGCTAGAACCATCTCATGAGAGAAACTCTTAATATTATCCTTGGAAAGGACTTAGTAGGGCTCATCCTCTTAAAATTAGTGGGGTATATCTGTATGGTAGGGCTACATTGCCCTCCTCCTGCCTTTCAGTTACACACATACCCCATTCCAAAAGCGCAGGTCTCAGTTTGACTCCTTCCTGTGCTTGACCATGCACCTTCCTGAGAGATCATGCACTGAAAACCATGTGTGCATTGGAGATTCTCTTAGTGATTGTCCACTAGGGCATACAATGTGTGGGGCTTTTAAATCTAAATACCTTCCTCATTCACCACAGAAAAGTTTGCTCCATAATTTGTATCTCTTATTTAACTCTGGCTTGCAGGCAACAAAGCAGAAGAAACCCATTGTATTTAATGTCACTCTGATGAATGGCCAGAGCATCACTGTCCCTGCAGACTCTGCTTCTATTGCCAAAGAGATCTGTCAGTTCATAGCAGATAAAACCAAGCTGAAGGATGTGTTTGGCTTTTCACTCTACATTGCTGTGTTTGACAAGGTAAATTGTGGAAAACCAGCATGGAATTTGTGGTCTTTCTCTGTGGTTTCTGCTCCTGGCTGAGGACTTCCTCTGGCCTCTGTTCTAGAAGTGCTCCCCTCCCTGACTTACACTGAGGCTAGAACCAAATCAGTTCTCCTGGATATCCCAGGATATCAGATCTGATAATCCTATTTTACCTTTCTGCTGCCTGGCCACTTGGCATTTTCAACACTGAAAACCCACTGCAAATGGCCTTGCCTTTCTCCTTACCCTCTAACTTATTCTTTCCCAATATTATCCCTGTACATATAAATATACATAAATTACTGAAGTATATTATATATGCTCCCCTTTTTTTTTTTTTTTTTTTTTTGCTGTCAGGAGTTGAGAAGCTTTGGGTTTGTTGCCCTTCGCTCAGATCCAAAGCAGGCATGCCAGTAAATGTGCTGTTCCTTTATTGTAGGTCTGGTCGCTGGGTGGGGGACGAGACCATGTCCTGGACGCCATCTCCCAGTGCGAGCAGCTTGTGAAGGAGCGGGGCACCCATGAACGTAATGCTCCCTGGCGGCTCTACTTCCGCAAGGAAATCTTCACCCCCTGGCACAACTGCCAGGAGGATCCCTTCAGCACTGACCTCATTTACCACCAAATCATTCGTGGCATCCGGTTTGGAGAGTACCATTGTGAGAAGGTGGGTTTCCTTATTCATCCTCATAAAGACACAAAACAATATAAAGGTTAATATCCTTGCTATTAGTCTCTTTGACACTATGATTATTTGAAGTTCCTCTCTCATTACACTGGAATGCTAACTAGGGATACCCAGGCAAAAACAGAGGAAAACGAGTTTTTAAACTGCCTTCAAGGTTAAATAAGGATGGGTGGACTTTATGACGTGTTTCTAGGATTCTTCTAACAGATTAATTGTTTCAGGAGGATGATTTGGTGGAGATAGGTGCAAAATATTGTTACATCCAGTTTGGAGATTCCATCCACAATGAGCTTGTGCAAAAAGTGCTCCATGACTGTATCCCAGTGAAACAGCTGAAGTCCAAGCCCCTGGAAAAGTGGGTGAGCCTTATAACCTACGCACATGCTAAGGTAAGAGTCTTGTCTGGCACTGCTCTGCAAGCACTCTTGAGTGCCTGCTTCTGCTTCTTTCATCATCTCTATTTATAGTCTGTAAAGGGAAGAAAAACATCTCAGTTTATCTACTGCAAGTAGTTAAGAGTGGGAGAGAGGGAATCTTTTCATTCTTCCACATATGGCTCAACAGGAGGACAGGAAAGAAGAGAACAAATCACCGAACAGAATGTCTTCTAAAGAGTGTCTAAGAACCTCCAACTGACAACTGAGTCAGGATTACTGGCATAGAATGGAGTATTATTTTTGATCTGGATAGTGTTATCTAGGTTATTCCCATGGCAGCTGCAGTGTGTGAAACAGAGCTGGCGATTTGAGGAGAATCTGAAATGCACAAACCTGCTCGCAGCCTTAGCTGCATGTGGCTTGAAACCTGGAGACCGGTCCTTGTTGACTTTCTGCAGGTGCACTTGATGTCACTGATAACAGAGGACTGTTGGGATGCTCTGGGATCACATCTGCTCTTTATTATCTGCAGACGCAGAATGCAAATGTGCAAAACACACAATGTTTTTCAGATCATGCAAATAAGATTTTGCTGAGGAAACCCTGGTCTCCTTTTATATTGCAGGCCCCGTACACACAGGACCGTGTTTCCCGTCAGACTGTGAAGGAACAGCTTGTGGATTTTGCTCGCTTCCAGTGGCCTTTGCTTTTTTCTAGATTCTTTGAAGTCACAAAGTTTTCGGGTAATGTCTGGAACTTGGGAGTAGAGGACAGATAAAAGATAACATAGAGATAATAGAGGAGAGTGTATATGCATTAATGAGGAGCCATTCCTGCATTTTCAGGTCCCAGCTTGCCCAAGAACCACTTTATAGTTGCCATTAATTGGAAAGGTATCTACTTCTTGGATGAGTCTGAAAAGCGGCTTCTTGAGCTGACCTTCCCAGAGATAACTGGCATCCACACCAACAGGTGGGTGCCAAAAGACACACGATGCGGGGAAGGCAGCTCTGCCTATATGCAGAATGGGGTTTCCATGTAGGCGGGAGGAAGACTTTCTGTGCCTTTCCCATAAGGAATTTGGTTTGAGTCTGGAATGATCCTGCTCAGTCTGGAAGGTGCAAGGAAGCACAGACACGATTCAGGATAAGAAAGGCCCAGATAACTAACCTGGTTAAGGCACCATTAGTTATGTGTGCTGGGAACGCGTCTCAGGTGAGGTGGAGCTGAACAGGATCACTGTGGGAAACCCTGGGCTTGCTCAGGGCACACGGCCTTGCATTACATCACTCAGGACAGAGCGCCTTATGCAAGCTAAAATACCTTCCTATGAAGGGAGTCATTCCAACAGAAGGGTGCTCTTTGTCTAGAAGGAGGTGCTTCCATACAAAAATATGGGGAAATGGAATCCAGAGCGAGTCTGATCGCTTTGGTCCTTCTCACTGATAAGTCATGAGAAGACAAATTAGGAGCTCATTCTCGGAGAGTCATCTACAAGAAAATTTTGGTGCCTTGGATGTGATTGGAGATAGCGCTGTAATTTTTTTCAGATATTCTGGTAACAAACTGTTCTATAATATATAGGGCAGTGAAATCCTTTGGACAGAGCTGCACTCTCATCACACTTCGTGGTGAGGAGTTTGTCCTGACATCTGTCAACAGCGTCGTCATTGCCGAGCTGGTGGTCATGTTCCTAGAAGGACTGAAGAAAAGATCACGATTTGCTGTGGCAATGCAAGAGAAAAAAACCCAAGGTAGGTCTGATAACATTGCTGCAGAGCTGGGAGAAATCTTGAGAGAATGAACAGCACTTGTTTGAAAGAGCTCAAAGAGGAGCGGAAGGACCCCAAGTGAGCAACACATTGCTCCAGGAGCAATGCAGATGCCTCAGCACAGCCATGCAGAGCAGAAGGCAGGGGGATTCAAGGGCCTTGCATACAAATTTGCCTTCCTTTAGCTCCTGCAGTTTCCAAGAACTCAGCCTGCTTTGGAGTAGGAAGCTGGAGTGGGCTGCCTGGAAACATTTTCCAGAAGAGTTTCCTGGACGTGGTAAGCTGGAGGTTTCTGTGGAGTACAGTTGCCTGGAGCAGTAAGGAAGTAATTATGATGTAAATATTAAGTCCACCTACTTATCACTGGTGATGAGCTCTTTTCCACACACTGCAGCCTGTTCTACCCACAAATTCTGCAACCGTTTGAGTCAAACGGAGTTTTGCCATTGCCTTCAGTGGAATAAAATCAGGCTAGTAGAGCAAATTTCAGTGTTTTCTCTGAAGTGTTGCTGAGTGATATGGCATATTTACATAAAACACTTTCTATTGCTAATTGAATTCAAACTTTGAAAACATCATTCCCTTGTCATTCCTATTGAAACCCCTTTCCATTTTCTTGGCCTGTCAAGCCTGAACAATATTTCCTTATTCTGTTTCCAGAAGACCCTGCCATCCTGCCCTTCAAGAAGGGAGACTTGCTAATCCTCACGGAGGATAAAAGGCTGGATGCAAATTCTGCCTGGATCAGTGCCCAGAATGAAAGGACAGGCAAAACAGGGAATGTGTCTTTAGAAGAGATCTACATCATTCCTTCTCTCACAAAACCATCTAGTCAACTGCTGGTAAGAAAAGCTTCACACTCTTTTTGAAGAGGCTGGAAGATAAATGCTGTAACAGTGTTAATTATGATTAAATTTGTAACTGGAAGATGATCATTCCTTCAAAATCAGTCAAGTTCTGTATCTCCCATTTTATTGTGCAATATCTGAAAACAAAACTAAAATCAGCCCAGACTCTAAGGGTAAGAGTGCAGTTGTACAAAAGCAATGACTTTCTAAATAATGCTCCATTTACCATAAGGAAGTCCAGACTTGAAATTAGCTGTAATTAACAGAAAAAGGTGTGCAGTGCCCATAATTAATTCTGTCTTTGGTTTTGAAGCCTCAGTATATTGGATACTTCGCTAACAGGTAAAAAAAAACAAGAAAAAGCAGGGGAAAATTACACATACTTGGCCACTCACACAGTGGCCACATCACACACATAGTGGCCACTGCTACTAAGTCTATTTAAATTGCTTTCTTGGGTCTCCTGCTCTCAAGTCTTTCTCCTCCTGCTGTTTTTTTGAGTCTCAGAAAATACTGACAGGGAGTCATGTCTCTTGCAGCACAGTGCACGCAGGCTTGTTACACACCTGTCTGTGCCTTGTGTCAGTGTGACCTCTCTGTGTGGCTGTGTCCTTCCAGAGCCTGCTGCTGATGTCTCCAGACCAGAGGAGGACAGCTTCCCAGAACTCCCACATGGAGGAGCCTGACGAAGAGGACGTCAGAACGAGGCCGTACACTCTAGAGGAATTCTCTTATGAACACTTCAGGTGAAGCTTCCTGTGCTGCATGAACTGCTCCTTGTGCAGTATGTCTCCTAGGAAAGTCTCTAGTTGTTCTTCAGCAATCTTAAAGCCTAGGATGTAACTGCATCTCCCATTTTTGACTGAATTTCTTCCTTTTGTTCCCTGTAATGAAGCATGACATTGGGCCTGCAGAGATCCTGGTGCATAGTCTGCTTGTGTCTTTCGTTTGCCTGGGGGAAGGAGTGGGAGTTTTGGTTTTGTGAAGGGAGGAGTGGGCGACTCTCCTCTGGAACATTTTCTTTTCCTTGCAGCAGGCCCTATGCTCAATTCTCACCTCTCTCCAGCACTTACCAGCTAGCTAAGGCATGCGATAGCCCAGGCCTTGGAAAGTAGCGGGGAAGTTAGTCTTCTAAATCCTCTTTCCTTCTTGCAAGCCTGCTCCCTTCTGAATCTACAGAAGCTACATTTCCCTGTAGGATATGTTATATGAGGATATACGCTGGATATGAGAGATCAGCATCTCTGGGCGTGCTCTTCCCTAAGATAACTCTTTGTGATAATGACTTGTGTGCTCACAGCAGTGCTGATCCAGTGCATTTGTATTGCCTGCGTGTGTCTCCATTCAGGACTCCTGAGAAGGAATCCATTAGCAAGGCTGTTCTCCAGAAATCCCGTGGACGCAGCCAGCTGTGGGCACATTCCAAGGAGCCCTTGAAGCAGCCCTTGCTGAAGACAGCGTGCACAGATGCTGATCTCCGGGACCTGGCTTGTCAGGCCTTCATCGATATCCTTTCCCTCTTCCCTTCGGGCCTGAGAACTCCCAGGGAAAGGAGGAGCTGCCTCCACTAAACTTGCTTCCATTGGAAACCCCTTTAAAAGGGCACCTCTACGTTAAAGCGGGTATAGGCTCTGTGAGACAGCGGGTAGCTCTGCCTTGTTTCCCTTTTCTAGTGAGCAAAGGTTCCCAGTCTGCCCCAGTGCCCCACAGCCTGTGATAACCTGTTTATCTGAGACAGTGATTAGGAGTGAGAGAGATTTACTGCGTGTGCTCAGAGCTAGCAATTAATACTGTACAAATCTGCTGTAATACTGTACAAAAGAACTGCTGCACCGATGGAGAGGGGCCAGGGAACAGGCTCAGTCCTTCCTCCCAGGACTTCCCACTCGGACCTGAACAGAGTCCCTCATGTTAAGGTCCAAGGGGTGCTCTGAACTGACCTCCCAAAGCTGACCTGCTTGTCCTTGACGGCGCGTCCACCCATCATGAAGTTCATGGGGGACTACCCCTCGAAACAGGCGCGCTCCTCTGCGGAGCTCACCGACCAGATATTCGTGGCAGCCATTCAGGAGGAGGTTCTGCGGGATGAGATTTACTGTCAGATCATGAAGCAGCTGACCGAGAACAGGAACAGGTACTGCTCCGGCGCGCCAGTCGTGGGTGGTTGTCCCGAGTGAGACGGGGCAGAGGGGAAGCCCGGGCACATCCCGGAGTGACGATCCTGCAAGCATGGAGCTGGCACTGAATCTGTTAGCACCAGTGGATCCTTCCAAGTAGTTGCATTGCCTAGCTTGCATGGCTGCCTTGCAGGACAGAGGGGTCACACAAACCCCCAGGCTTTCCTTCCCCACCTATAAAATGGATAAGCTGACCTAAGGCTTGAAATACTAATAAGATAATTCATTTTATTAAGGAAAATGAGTGGCAATTCCTAGCAGTAATGTGTCATTGCAAAAGTTAGAATAGGAGCTTCCATTTGATCATTTCCTTTCTTGCTATTCCTCAAAGGCTATTAAACTCGGTGGTACTTTTGCCATGAGGGGAACTATTAAATGTTATTTTTTCTTGTATGCAGTCAATCTTACAGGCTGTTAAATGCATGGTCTGTAACCGTAGTGCCAGTGCCATTCTTGCTGTACTCTTACCAGTTTAGCCCTGTAGATCATTCACTGTTTTGAGCAAGATCACTGATGTGGAAAGAAAACAGTGCTTGAAAAGTGGCTATTTCCATATATTTTCATTAGAACAGCCAGAAGAATGAGTCTTTCATCCTTCCCAGGCTGCTGCCCTATGGACCACGTCCTGCTCTCACGCAGGCACAAATATCACAGATCTATAGAGCATAAGTAGGATTAAAACAGTGTTTTATGGTCTGCGCAATCAGAAAAGTAACTGGGGAAAAAGCCAAGAACTCCTCATCCAGCTGAGTCCTGGGGCCCACCGAGCGGCGGAGCTGCTGGCTTTCCTAACCAAAACCCATTCGCTGCCCTCGGCGTTCCGGAGCGACCCCAGCGTCGCTGCTTGAGTGTGCTCTGCTCCTGGCTTTGCTGGCAGAGCCACCGACCTCCTCCCAGCCAGGGCAGAGTCTTTCCTGCTGGTGGCAGGGAGACACCAGGGCTTTGGCTGGCAGAGTTTGCAGGCCCCGTGGCTGCAAGAACTGCCTGCAAATAGCACAGAGTTGATCTGGAGTTCTAAGAGATGTAACTGCCCTAATATACAGTGCCACCTTCGTGGTCACTTTTCAGACCAGAAAGGTGCGTAAGGACAAGTAAATGCCCAGGGAACTGCTTGGGTCCTCGGCAAAGCCTTTGATCACAGGGGAGAGATGAATCCAAACAACTGAGAAAACACAATCCAAATAAATGTGAGCTTGAACCAGAGGCTTGACTGTGGCTTACAAAGAGGATGGCACCAGGGGCACTCCTGCCAAGATAATAAACTGGCGCTTATGTTTATTCATGAGGCTGCAACTGTCATGAATATTCATCAGCCAGGATTTAGAATGATCTCTGTGCAGAGGCTGGGGTCACTGCACAGAAAATGCCTGTCAGCTCCTGTGTGAAAGCTCTGCTGATTTGCTGCTCCCTGCTGAATGGCACGATGTCCCATGACCAGGGTGTTTTTCTTCCCCGTAGCTGTTGTTGGTCAAAGGAAGAATTATTAGGAGCGGCTGTAGCGGGGCCGTTTTCTGTGTGTTCACAGGTACAGCGTGAACAAGGGCTGGCAGCTCCTCTGGCTCTGCACTGGCCTGTTCCCACCCAGCAAGTCCCTGCTGAAACATGCCCAGAAGTTCATGGAAACACGTCAAAAAGAGACCCTGGCCCTGGAGTGCAGTCGCAGAATTCAAAGGGTGATGAGGTAAACAGTCTTGGATATAGCCAGCCCGGCATGTTTAGAAATCATGAATCTGGCACCAAAAAAATCACAGGGGATGAAATACTGAGACTATTTCTTTTCTCTCTTCACTTTTTTTCTTTTACATTTCACTTTTTGAAGTTGCATAATGGACTTTGAAATACTAGGAAATGTCTGTCACAATTTCATTCTGTTCTTCCATAGAGTTAGCACCATTTAGATAGGCTGAACATGACACACAGCCACTTGACTCCCAGAGCTAAATGTTTCAGGCATGAAGCTTGCAATTAAAGTGTACCTTTGTCAGGGATGAGGTCCTGACTTTCCTTTGGTGAGACGGCTTCATCTCATCCTCTTCACAGGTGTCTTGATTTTATTGAATCTCCACAGCAAACAGCTGCCCATCTGCAGCTGAAAATAGCAGTTTTGCTCACCATGGAGCGGCATCACAGTGCTGATGTGGCTCTGCTGCCTTTCTGGATAGCAAAGGAGATCCTGGGAAGAAAGGAGCAACACAGCCAGTTTCTGCTCATTAAGAAATCCAAATGAGCAAAACCTTGAGACTTACCTGGCTGTTGGCGTCAGGGCACCTCACAAGGAGCTGGACATGACCCTGTTCTGCCCTGGAGTAACTGTCCTGCTGAGGGACACGATGGGTCATCCAGCCTGACAAGCTTCTTGAAGTCTGTGTGACCCTTGTCTTCACCCTTCAGGAAGGAAAAACATTGCTCAATATGTAGACAGGGATGATAGAGATGGTTAGGAAGATGCCTTCTCCATGCAAACTTCTTGCAGAGAACAGAGTTTTTAAAGGGTGTGCTTATAAGACCCTCTATGCTCTGTTAATATGCTGAATTGGCATTAAGGTAAAGGATTAGAGCCCTCTCCAGCTCCCAATACTAGCATTTTGGATGGAATTTATCCTGTTGTTCAGCTCCTCATCCAGCACTGACATCCCTTGTGATGATGGTGGCATTTTCCAGGAGTGGCTCCAGGAAGTGGGCACCTCATCCTGTGGAGGTTGATGCCATCTTGCAGAACAACACTAAGATCTCACTCAAGATCTGCTTCCCCAATGACACAGAGCAGGTAGGAACTTTGGTTTTCTCAGCCTTGACCTGCTGTGTTCATGCAGGAGCATGTTTCAAGATACACAATATTCCTCTTTTTCCCTCTTTGCCACATAACAAGAGCCTTCTTATCTCATAGGCATTTGATGTGGGAACAAACACCAAAATCCGGACTCTGTGTCAGAACATTGCTTCCAAATTGCAGCTGGGCTCCTGGGAAGGTTTCAGCCTCTTTGTCAAGATCGCAGACAAGGTAATTCTTCTCAGTCATAGTAGAGTAGCCAAACTCTCTTCTTCTCATCTACTTGCCCAGATCACCTAAGCAATCGTATATTAAGCCAAGCAACATAGCAGGTCACCACTGCTTCTGTCTTGCTGAGGGAATACAACTTAAGACTAAAACTTTGACACCTGGCACTTGATTTTGAGAACGCAATGTCTGTCATGATTTATGATAAGAATGGCTAGGAATAGAGTAGGCATTCAGCTTGCCTTCAGTGGGTGTTGGAAAGAAATGCAAGCAGGTAAAGGGAGGAAAAAAAAACAGAAAACAGAATAAAACTCCCATGAAATGAAGACCACACAAGCCTTCCTCCTCCTATTTCTCCTGTTCTTTCCTTTTGTCTCTGTCTTTACTGCCATCATTTAGCTCTCTCACTATAGACAGGGAAAGATAATGAAGCCTGTTAGTTGGGTATGTTGGCACATTGGTATTTTATTTTATCTACGGTTATCGTCTTCGCCTCTTCCAGGTGATCAGTCAGAATGAAGCAGACTACTTCTTTGACTCGCTGAGACAGGTGACAGATTGGAACAGGAAGAACAAACTTGTGAAAGATGGTAAGGAGGGTGTCATCATGACAAGAAGCTGCCTGAGATGCTGTGTGACCTGGGGAAGCAGTTCATTTACCCACTAGGATTTACTCCACCTCAGCTGGTGTGTGGCTAGGGGCCTATGATACCGTTTTTATCTTAACCATAGATGGTTACTGCCTGCCCCGGCAATAAGATCCAGCGACCTCATGCAGCCGCCACGGGCTGTGAGGAACACCTGAACACGTTTGTTTGGGGATCTCACTGGAAATTAGACTGGTGCCAAAGATCATAGAACTACAGAATCATAATGGTTGCAAAAGACCTTCAAGATCATCTAGTCCGACTGCAAACCCATCACCACTGCATCCCAAACTGCAGCTGGATGCACACAAATTACAGATAGGTAAATCCTGTTTAGAGTCCAAGGCTTACGCATTGCCAGACCAGGTATCAGCAAATTCTCCTCTTGACACAGTGCTACTCCCATTCTCTGGATCATTAGAAAACTGCCATCTAGATCACTGCCTGGTGATATTAGAGCCCAAGTTATATTGCTAAGGGAACACACTGTTAGAATAAAACCATTTACCTCAGGTGACAGCAGTTCACCCCCATATATAGCTTTACATTTTAAAATCTACATTAACTCAAACTTCACCCAAATTTCATACTCAACCATTATGATCTTTGCATATTTCAGAAGAGCTACAGTTCAACTGTTGAATCGTTAGGCATCAAGGACTTTCTAGCTTCCTTTTTTCCCCACGGCTGATTTAAATCACAGCATAAGGATGTGTATACTAAACCACTGTTAATTCTCGTAAGTAAAGCCATCAGAGAACATACCAGCATCCGTGTAACGGAACTCAGGGTGCAGCGCTTGAGGCAGCAGCTCTCATGTGCAGCAAGAACCAACAAACACCCCTGTTGCTGAGACTCTCCCTCCTTTTGTTATCTCTGAAGAGCCTGATGCTGCATCTCAAATCACTGTGTGATCAGTGCTCACGAACTGACAACTAATCACTTCTCGGGTCACCTGAAACTGTCTTTTGTAGTATTTCGCCAGAGATTTTGTTTCCCATTATTAAGAAGAAACTCACCACCCAGGTTCAAACCACCGAACTGCAGAACATGCTAACAGGGTGTTGTTTCCTCAGGGGCTCCGGTGTCTCTGGCTTACGAGGTGTATTTCATGAGAAAGCTGTGGCTGAATGTAATTCCCGGGAAGGACCTGAAAGCAGATTCCATTTTTCATTACCACCAGGTAACAAGCTCCCTAGGGCATCTAAAAAGGCAGGCCACACAGTCCATTAGACGCTGAAAAGTGAACCCGCTACTCCTGTCTGGGCTCAGAGATGGTCTCTTGCAGGAGCTGCCCAAGTACCTCAGAGGCTACCACAAGTGTTCCCGGGACGAGGCCGTGCAGCTGGCAGGGCTCATTTACAAAGTGCGCTTCAACCAAGACCGCACGCAGCTGGCGGCCGTCCCCAAAATCCTCAAGGAGCTGGTGCCAGACAACCTGCTGCGAGCAGCCTCACCAGAGGAGTGGAAGAAGGTAAGATTATCAGCATTAGCTAAGGCTTGCACTAACCTTCCTGCTTCCAGAAAGCTCTAGAAGAAATACATGAAGCCACATTATCTTTTGATTTGGTAGTTTTTGGAAGCACTGCAGAGTGACGCTAGTTACGTTGCTGCTTGAATCTGGATTTTTCATCCTCTCTAACAAGCCTTTCATAGCCTTTCTAACAAGCCTGCATACCTGGAAGACTGATGTGTGTTTTTCGTGGAGATACTATTGCATGTCTGTGCCTGGGGGAAAAAAAAAAAAGACATTGGAAAGTCAGTTGTGGGTTGGGGATTTGAGGATCACATAGAGAAACTGAAAACTAGTGCATGTCCTAAATATTTCATAGATTAGCCAGCAAATCTGTCGCTCTGCACCAGGTGTGTGCTGCTTATAGCAGACAGCTCTTTTCTCCTTCAAAAGACACGAAAGAGTTAGCAGGTACTTTTAATCCAGTGAGTAACACACTGGCCACCACTTCAAATACCAAGGCAAGATTCCTATTTTGCAATAGAAAATAAGATAAATATCTGTGGAGACACTGGCTCTCTGAAGTTTCATCCCATACTGTTCCTCTTCCCTGGAATTCATTCCTCTGGGCTCCTGGACTTCTCTCATCCAATTCATTAGCAGGAAACACATGAAAATGCATTATGAAAATAAAATCCAGTACCTTGCTATGGCCTTCCATCATGCCTCTTCTGCTGATGTAGGCACAAGACTGAACTTGCTGCTGCTCTCATGCTGGCTCTAGCCCATCTCCAGCCAACTATGCTCTGTGTCTTTTTTCCTGAACAGAACATTACTGCAGCGTACAACAAACACGAGGGAAAAACCGTGGACGAGGCCAAGGTTGCCTTCTTGAAAATGGTGTATCGGTGGCCAACATTCGGATCAGCCTTCTTTGAGGTCAAGGTAGGTCTGGAAGTCTGCACGAAAGGCTTTGCTAGGAGACTAGCAATAGGGCTTGACTGGAATTCCGTTCCTGCGTGCCAATGTGTTCTGAAACTGGCTTCCCACCATTTCCTGAGGAATTCCTTGCATTTCTTTTACACTTCCCGAACTGTGCCTCTAACTTACTGATTATGTTGTTGCTCCAGTTCCTGGAAGGGGTAAAACTGCAAATACAAGTGCAATCCCTTGGCAGTTTATATGTTGAATGGAAGACTTAACTGTCTTGTCATTCTTGTCCACACAAAAATGCTGTAAAATCTTACACGCTCTGGGGATTTTCTCCTCAGATCAGAACAGTATTAATGCTCTCATTCTGCAGTAGGTGCCAGGAGGGATCATTTCCTACTTTGTAACTTTAATTTCTCCTCATTAACTTCTCACCAAAAGGGTAGTTTTGCATCCAACCATTAAAGCTATTATCAGATAGCCAAGCAGCTAACACATCTGATATTGCTTTTATGCAACAGTTGCTCAAGTCTTCAGCATACAATCAGAAAAGTCATCCTTAGCAACAGTTACATAATACTAAAGAGGCTGAGGTTTCTGTTCACTGATCTGGTAATGAAAAACAACACTAGACTCTACTAAAGGTGACTGTACACTTAGCATGGATCATATTTTACTTTTTTGCTTATCTTGCTTTGTTGCTCATCTACAGCAAACCTCGGAGCCAAACTTCCCAGAGATTGTGCTGATTGCAATCAACAAGCAAGGAGTCTCAGTAATAAATCAGAAGACAAAGGTAGTATTTGCTTCTCCAGAGTTTGTCTAATCCTCTAAATAACGTCCATCTATCTGAAACGGGCAGATCTAATGAAGGATTTAAGTGACTGTGCTATTTCGCAGACAACAATAGGCAACTTCATAGACAACAATTCGATTCTCCTTGAATGTTAGGAGAGAATGGAGTCCCTCTGTTTGCTTTCTGTATGAAAAACATGTTATTGCCTCAAACCCTTTTTTTTTTTGGCACTAGAGCATCTCTGGGGGAGAAAAAAAAAAGAAAAAAGTGTTAATCAGGACAAAGTGGTAGGATCAGGATAAGGCAGATGAATGGATAGTGTACTGGGAAACCTGCTTTTAAAGAAGAAAATCCATTACAGGAAATGCTATTTGTCTACCAATTACATCAAATTGCAGTCTTAGCGTTTACAAGCTCTCTAACCCAGCCGACCAGTCCGGACATACCAAGCTTGTAAGCAAAAGCATTTATGAATATCGCTGTTTGCTTTATGTTACTGTACCTATAATGGTAGCGTGCTAAGACAAAGATCAATACGTAATAAAGTGTCTTCATCTGAGAATACAATATACTACTAGTATGGATGGACCTGCCTTGATCCACTGCATATATGAAGCAGGAAACAAAAAGGAGGCTCTAGTTCTACAGTTTTTCTTAAAATAATAGTCTGTGTCATTTGAGAACTGTTTCATAGATAAGTTACTTTGGTTTGTTTCATCTTGCAGGATATTTTAACAGTTTACCCCTTTAATAAAATCTCCAATTGGAGCAGCGGGAGCACGTACTTTCATATGACTATAGGAAACCTGGTACGAGGAAGCAGGATCTTATGTGAGACATCTCTGGTAAGAGCAGCTTTGTGAAGTGTGTCCAGAACTGCTCCGAAACCACGGTGCCAAAACAGACTTTAAAATGAATGCAGGCACAAAAGCACCGTTACGCCAATAGAACTGCCATTTAGCTTTAGTTCAGTGCTACAGAACGTGATGCAAAGAAATAAGCCAAAGAGATAAAGAAAAATGGTAATTTCCCCAATTCTTCCCATATATCAAAATTGTACCTGCCTGAGACATCAAGAAAAAAACCTTCACTCGGCTACAACATCCATCTTTCATGGTATCATCAGCTGCACAGTAATACCATCACTGTAAGACTGTACACTCTGCAATGAGTGTTAACACTTTTTTTAGAAATTGCTTTCCAACTGTCCACAGGTTTCGGCAAGCATCCCTGTATTCATATTTAAAGATAAGTTTGTAAAGACAACCTTAAAAAATAGGGAAAACTTCTCTCACAGGAAAGCCTCAATTCCCAAGTACAAGATGACAAGTTATAGAATAAATTTTGGGTTGAATGACTATGAATATGTTCTGCAACCTTCTGTAAAACTGTAAAGGGAAGAGGAGGTAGAGGAAAAGCCAAATCCTCTGAGCAATGATAGGTAAGAGAAGCCCAAGCAGGAGAAAACAACAAACAGGGTAGAAAACATGGTTATTTTTGCTTGTGGAGCTCTTTTTACTATTTTTCTGTCTTTTCTGACAGGGTTACAAAATGGATGACCTGCTAACGTCCTACGTACGCCTGCTCATGAATGCTGTCAACAGGCAGAAGAACCTGCCGGCCTGAGAGCCCAAAGGGAACACGTGGCCTGTCCCTGTGCCAAACTACCTGTCGTTTCCTCTCCCAGAAGAAACAGCTGTTTAAAAAGACTGAGCTTTGTGGTTCTTGATCAGTCTTCTGATCACACACTGAATGAACTGTACTGCTCAAATACATCCACAAGAAAAGCTCAAGGGAGCATGTGCTTTCATATATTTTTCAAACTTGTCTTATTTAAATGGAATAAGTTCCATTCAAACTTCGGATTTAGAGGTAAAAGGGGAAAAAAGCCCTAAACTAATCCGAAAACCTCTTCTGATAGGAGTCTCTTCCAATCTTGAAGAGAGAGTCACTCTTACTTTTTTCCCCCCTTTGGAGAGAAAAGTTACCCTTGTTTCATGTGCTCTTACCAAATATATAAATTTTTCTGAGTCTTTGCAAATAAAATTAGTATTTTTTTTCCTCCTAATGGAAAGTTTTAAGAGTGCAGAAATGTGCTTTAATAGTAGGATAATTGAACACATCAGACAGGTAATACTGGTTTTCATCCTTTTATCACTAGGCTACGTGCTGCAAATTACAGTAGACTAAGAGAGACAGTTACTGTCACAACATAAATGTCACTCCTGGGTGTCGCTGGACTCGTGGGCTGTTTGCTGGCTTATCATTGCCCTTGTTAAATTAGATGCTTTTCTTTCTTCCACAGTTCTCTACACACCCAGAAACTAAAGACTACTTCCTAATACATAGTTTCAAGAAAGGGTCTGGATTTTGAGTCCATTACTTTTACTCAGTAGCTCCTCTTTCAAGTTATAGATGTGCTATTCAGTGCAAATCAGCACTAAAACTTAGCCTAACAGACATCTGCTGAAAAGAGACATTCTTCTCCATAAACATGTTCTCAGCTTGGAGTTATGCAGACATTCGCTCATGAGACAAACGAATGACAGTTGCTAATTTTAATAGCTTTAATTCATCTTGATCTTCTCTAGTTCCTGTTTATTAGACCATTTGAGCCACAAAATTTGGTTTAGCACTTGCTCTCCACACAGACCCTCATAAACACACGACTTGGGCTCCTCAGGAGCTGCTCAGAGGCTGTACAGCGTGTGCCCTGCACTGGTGGTGAGCCTAGATGCTTACCCCAGCAGAGAGCAAGGACTGCTCCGTCCTCAGGGCAGAGCTCTCCTGTGCTCAGTGAAGCCTGGACATCTCTTAAAGCACTTACATTTACACCGACGTCCTTGAGGCAGCAGCTGGCAGCGCTGGAAAAGCAGCTCTGCTGGTTCTCTCTCCAACTTGCCAAGGTGAGCACCGGGGCTCCCTCGCCCCCTCGGCTGTCTGGGGGCTGCAATCCAGACACCAAGGGAGCGTTGGACATGCGGGCAGGGAGAGGAGCCTCGCTCACTTCGTGCATCTAAACGAGTGCCACACTTGTCACGATAGTTAATCCTTTTGCAATCAATTAGCCGTTCCTGCAGTAATGCCCATTCCTGGCAATGGAAGCTTTGAGACTACTGGCTTCAGGGGTTTTGTCATCCTAGTTCTCATCTAACCAGGGAGAGCTGAGAAGCATTCTGCACTGCGCCTGTACAAATGAAATTTTGCAGCTGACGTATATTGCTTTTGTTTTTTAAATAAACATTGCAGAAAAATCAACCATGATGATGTCTTTTTCAACAAGAAAAGTAAGTATTCACTCTAGATCCATGCACCTTAAACCTACCAAACACGTAGCACAGGTACATCCCATCTGCTTTTCACATACACAGTACGATTTGTAGGGCCTAACCTCTAAAAGAATGATATTTCTCTCAGCACATCATCATCATCAACCAGCACATCACCATAAAAAGCAGCAGGGATCCCAAACTTGAATTCAGCACAGTACTGAATCAAACGTAGACAATCCTCACAGGTCCTAGAGCTCTGGCTCACCCTTGCAAACGTGATTTCCCAGTTTTACTTTACAATATACATCCTTTTATACATTTGTATGAAGTGTGAAGATTTAGAATGTATTAAAGTTTATTACAAGAATATAAACAAGTACAGTATTACAATTTTAATCCATAGTCACACGTTTTGTTTAGAGAGCACAAGCAAACTGTAATAAACGAGGGCTTCACACTGTGCAGAATCCAGCCCTGGTCATCATGGCCTGAACCCCAGGAAGGAGCAGCTAAGTCCTTTCCTCAGCCTGTGGCATCCTCAGCACTGAAGAGTGCTTTACAGACTAGCAAAACTGCATTTGTTCCAGGTTTGTCTGCACTCAATTCCGTTGGTGTACGGGGGTCAGTCTGCACGCTCGAACACAAAACATGCGTCTTTAGAAACTCTGTGGAGAGGCTTGAACAATATTTGCCGACTTTGCATAGATTACTGTAAAAATGAAGACCAGGACTCAAGCTTTATAGAGCAATTAGCTTGCCATAAAGTAATTAACAAACCCTTTGAATACAAAGAAGGTTAACATCCTGTGATTTCTAAAAGCATTACTGTTTTCAAGTGTACTCAGTGAAGATTAGTGATTTTAATTCAGTATGTATAAATATAAATGTAAACTATAAAATTATGTAATAAGACAGCAGCTTTTAATAAGGAAAGACTTCTGAGCTAAATTCAACCCTGATATAAATCTGTGCTCTTCAGTGGTGTGATACCTAGGATGAATTTGGCCAGCATCTATTTACAGCAATGGAAAAAAACAACCAAACCAGGCACGCACCTTTAAGCTTACACTACTGACCAAGATCTTGACTTAACATTAATAGAACAATAACATTAGCCTAGCAACACACTAAAAAAAATTCCAAGACTGTGATACCTTTTACTTGCTTTTTAAAAATGTAGCCTCAAAGATGCATTTTTTTCAAACTTTTTGTAAGTTTTTTTTTCTCCTACTCCCTCGATTCCTCCGTCTCACAAAATGAGCATCAGTAGTATGCTCGCTGCATGCTCTCAGCAGCAGGAGTCAAATAAAGACAGTTTTGAAAATTATGAGTTAATAATTAAGGAACCACTTAGACAACACCACTATCCAGCTATTAAATGGATCAGGGACTATGGTGCCTTTTTCCATGACTAGTCTTAGGAAATGCTCTGAAGAGAAGGACAGAATCCAAATCCTAGCGAACTGAGCAGTCTGCCAAAGAGAATGGTATCAACTGTCCTTTGAACACCAAGGCTTACTAAGGCTACTCAATTTCCAGCTCACGCTTAATCTCTACCTGTAGTAGAAAAATAATTCCATTCAGCTCTATGCACATAATTTTCCATTGCTGAAAGTGGCCACTGAAAGAATATTTCCTATTGTGTGTTGCTTGCATCGTCTTTCCATATTTACAAGTAGGTAATACTGCTCTGAGGAGGCTGAAGATACACTGCTGCTCAGATGTGGCATTAGGCTTGGCCTGTAACCAAGACTACAGGAGCAGAGCTGCATGTTTGATGCTGAGAAGAATCTGTATAATACAACAAACTGTGTCTTGGTCAGTAGTATTGTGAGACAAGTGCCAAAGAATAGGCTTGCAAGATTGGTTCTTGCATAGCCACATGCTACTGTGCTGAAAGGCGTGCTGATCTATGTGCCCTACCTGAAATATCAATTAACGGCCAGCAAGATTAGCCACTTGTTCTCCTAAAGCAGTGACAAAAGCCAATACTAGTGTAATCTACAGTGCAGATCGGTCACACGAGGAGGGAAGAGTTTCAGTGTTGATTAAAGCCCATCTCTTCTCCCAGGTGTTGCAGTGGATGCTGAATATCTCAGTTAAATGCCTATGGTAACTTAGCAAAGCAAAGAGCAAGGCAGTTAAAGAAAATCTGAATTAGGAAAGCCAGAATCTAAAGCATGGTCTTGCTTTTGGGATTCCCATCTGCACACAGCTAGCCAGGGTACCCCACCACTGCTGTAGTTTCACAGGTAGTAGCTACTCCAAGCGCACCAAGAGCTTTCTGTACTTTAGCTCTTTTAGCAAACTATCCATTTTATAGGAGATTTAAATCATGCAGGGGCCGGTGCCTGGATTCTCACCATGATTATTCCAAAAAGGGTGGACCCAGGAACAGCTCCGCTAAAGAAATACTGAGAATGTTGAAAACTAATAAATTTCTCAGCACCTGGAGTTATACCAGCAGAGCGAGTAGGATGAGTGAAACTGCAGCAGTGGTAGGCAAAGCTACAGAGCAGAAAAAAACCTTTAGGCAAAACCGTATACTTAAAATTTACAGGTTCATGTCTGATGTCCTCTTTAAGCCACTCATATCTTAAGAAGAAAGTTGAGGGAAAACTCTTATTCAAGTTAAAGTTTTAGGAAAAAACATTTCCTGCTTTTTCTGCGTAAGTCTGCATTTGCTACAAACTGGAAATATAAGAAATAACTTCATGTCATTTAACTTTCTAGAGAGTGACCTTGGAAGGTTTACTCACCTTTCAAATAAAGTGAGAAGGACTGAATTTGAAACTGAAGTGCTTAAATTAGTACCATATTATCAAAAGGATTTCATTATGTAAAAGAAGAATCTGATCTCCAGCTACACTACATCAATAAGTGTCAGCTGTGCCAATGGATAGGACATGAATTGTGTCGTCCAAGTTCAAATGCCCATGACACAGAGAGAAAAGACTGAGACAATTATAGAGCAAAATCCTAACAAAATTTATCCTTTTTCTAGTCATCTCCTACTTAAGGAAGGCCCCCCAAATCCAAAGAAGCTGACACGGCCATAGGGACTGAAATTCCCTTACTGCTGAATGGGGAAGCAGCAAAGCAAACTTCCGTAGCAGCCCTACCTCAACACTGCTCGAGCGAGACAAGCAGCAGTGCAGATGCCCTAACTACTGACTTCTAGCTTCACTCAGTAAACCTGCAAACCAGTAGGTTTCTATAGAGTGAGTGCATGCTCGACAGGCATCTGGGCAAAAAACAGTGCATTTTAAATACGTAGTACATATGTGGTACATATGCATGGCAGCCTACAGATTTTAAAAAATAAAACTTCTTCATGCAGGGTAACAGGAGAAA